TCACCCCTCCTCCCGCCCCCCCCCCCCCTGCCTCTAGACTCCAGTGCCCTTACCCTCTCCTCTCCCAGCCCCACCCTGTCCCCCCTCCCACTGACACCTCCCCTCCTGCCCTTTTCCTTATTGTCTCCACTTGGCCCCCTGGCATTTGTTTCTCCTCCAGGCTGTCCCTTGGTGCCTTCCTCTCCCACTCCCTCCCCCTCCGCACAAGCCCCTTCGTCTCCCAGCCCTTCCCGTCCCCCTCCGCACAAGCCTCTTCCTCTCCCAGTTTTAAAGTCCTGGGCCATGACGTCACGCCCGGACGTCTCCCTGGTCACCTGGAAACACCGCGCATGGCAGCAGCAGCAGCAGCAGCACGCACCGGCAAGGGGAAGCTGACTGAATGCTGCGCACGGCCAGGACGGCCCAGGGCCGGGGGGATGCGTGGGGGGGCCAGCAGGGGGGGGCTGGGGCCCGCTCCAGGCAGGGCCAGGGGAGAGACCCAGCTCCAAATATTGCTGGAACATGGGCACCACAAGCCCATATAACTCACCGCCCATGGTCCCACTTGATTGTAACCCCTCAGACCAATTTATGAACACCAGCGTGGAACTGCACTGGGAAACTTCAGGATGCCTGCGGTTTTCACCAGTCAGAAGTCTACACTTGTAGAGAGGTTAGGAGACTGTTCCTACCCAAGTGACGTTGTCATAAGAAGCATGGCTGTCCCCACTGATACTTGGGGGATCCTGTGTTCTCCCTTTTGACCTGCCTTCTGAAACTGCACCCTCATATCAGAGGCCCAGGCAAGAAAGGTTGCAATACACTTTTGGCTGCTGCAGGCTGGTTGTGGCAGATTGAAATTGGTTTGGATTCCAGTGTCAGCTGTGCTGCCTGCAAAGCCAGCAGCGAATCGTGTCCCTCTTCACGGACCTAGGATAGTGATAAGTGCTGAATGATGCCAGTGGCGCACTGAAAGAAAGCGCACCGTGTGCCAATGAAGGTAGATGCATCTGGGCAACAAGGATGCTTTGTGCTCCCCTGCAGTGGGCGTGGCTGGGCTAATGGAAGAGGGAGACTAGCCTAATACTGAGAGACCCCAGCCATTGGCAGGGGGGATAGAACCAGGGGCCTTTGGAGGTCAATGCATGTGCCTTGACACTATGAGCTAAAAGCCCTCTGCCTCTTAGCTAAGGCTTATTGATCTCTAAGGTTGTGTCTAGCCTGCATCCGTTTTCCGTAAAAGGGATGCAAATTAGACACATCTCAATTGCAAATGAAGTGGGGATTTAAACCCCCCCTGCTTCATTTGCATAAAAATGGCTGCCACTTTTTTCCGGCTCAGAGGAATAAGGGATCTTTCAGAAAAGGCTTTAAAGAAGGGGGGAAAATTTAAAACCCTGCTTCATTTGCAATTGCTCTGTGTCTAATCTGCATCCCATTTATAGAAAAGGGTTGCAGTCTAGACACAGCCTACTTCAAGACAGGCCAAAAAGGGAAAACAATAGAATTCCACTTGTCATTACCTACAGTCCACAACTTAAATCTCTCCAATGCATTATCAATAATCTACAACTTATCTTGGAAAATGATTCCTCACTCTCAGAGGCCTTGTGGGAAAGGCCAATCCTTGCTTACAGAGAATCTCCTAACCTCAGACAAATTCTTTCCAGTAACCACGCAACAAACCTCCATCATAGTCTTTTATTTCGAAACAGCGCCATAACGCAAATATGCAAATGAAGTGGGATATTTAAATCCCGGCTTCATTTGCAAGTTCCAATGTCTTCATTTGCATCCCTCTCTTGAAAGAGGGTGCAAGTGCAGACATACCCTTAGGCTGTGTCTAGACTGCAACCCTTTTCTATAAATGGGATGCAAATTAGACACATCTCAATTGCAAATGAAGTGGGGATTTAAATCCCCCCTGCTTCATTTGCATAAAAATGGCTGCCACTTTTTTCCGGCTCAGAGGAATAAGGGATCTTTCAGAAAAGGCTTTATTTTCCGAAAGATCCGCATCTAGACTGGCGCTTTTTTCCGGCAAATCCCCGCTTCATTTGCAATTGAGATGTGTCTAATTTGCATCCCATTTATAGAAAAGGGTTGCAGTCTAGACACAGCCTAAGGGTATGTCTGCACTTGCACCCTCTTTCAAGAGAGGGATGCAAATGAAGACATTGGAACTTGCAAATGAAGCCGGGATTTAAATATCGTTATGGCGCTATTTCGAAATAACAGACGCTGTTAAGATGCGGTTATTTCGAGAGAAAATCCTTCTCTCGAAATAACTGGTAAACCCCGTTGTATGAGGAATAAGGGTTATTTCAAGAGAAGGGTTTTCTCTCGAAATAACCACGTCTTAACAACGTCTTTTATTTCGAAACAGCGCCATAACGCAAATATGCAAATGAAGTGGGATATTTAAATCCCGGCTTCATTTGCCATTTCCAATGTCTTCATTTGCATCCCTCTCTCAAAAGAGGGTGCAAGTGTAGACATACCCTAAGTCAGTGGTTCCCACATGCTGGGCCACGGAGTGGTGCCAGGCCGTAGCACGCTGCCAGACCATGCCCATGCCGACTGCTCCAGGACTGGGACTGGAGCCACCTGTTTGTGGTGGCTCTGGGGGCCAGGGCTGGGGTACACCCCGGCCCCCTGAGCCGTTACACAGCAGCCTGCTTCAGCTCTGGTAGCTACCGTGTGGCGGGCGGCTGCCACAGCAAAAGCTGGCTAAAAAAAAGCCAGGGCTTGATTTTATGCAAATGCATCTGCTTAATAAACATGCACATATGCAAACAAAATGTTAGTGGTCCGCCAAATGTTTGTGAATGGGTTTGCCAGTCAGTGGTATAAACAAGGTTGGGAACCACGGTGCTAAGTGGTCTTAGTGCCACTAGAGGGAGACAGAGCCCCACAGCCAGAAGGAGAGAGTTACATTGGTACCTTTATGACTGTACCACTTGCCCTGCAATGTACTTATGACTGGTCTGTTCCCTTATTAAACCAGGGAGGCAGGGTTGACACACTTTGGATGGATGGACTGACTGACTGCATTGAGGAATGGCATCTGCATACACATTCCCAGTTGGCCCCGACCACGTGTTTCCCTGGAATACTCGCTGCATGATGTAATGCACTTTCCTGATCAAATTCAAAGCCATATGTAGAAACATTTGCTAGAAATGTGGAACCTTCCCCCATTGCCTCAGCAGGACACCACTAACAAAACCTTGTTTAAAACCCCCAGCAACTCAAAGCACATGCATGCTGCTGGGTACCTCAAGGTAGCTCCCTGTAGCCCCCACATTCATGGATTGCATGTGGCTGCAATGTGTCATACAAGGCATGCCTTGTGCAGCGTCATACAAAAGGGCATGAGCTCTGAAATCCATTGTTCTGTCGCATACGTGTAGCATCATTGTACATGAAAAGGTATTGAAATATGTTGTGTGCCTGCAGGTGGTGACCCACACCTAAATGGGTGTTAAGTGGCCATCAGGAACCCCTGACTAGCAAGGTCAGTCTGTGACCTGCTGGAAAATGCCCGTGTGTTATCGCTACGGCTCGGCTTCTCTCATGGGGGTGAAGGATTCTGCGACTAAGCTGTCTGCAATGTTTTGGCTTCAATCCCGTTTGGGCTTCAGTCCCAGGCAGCAGGGCTTGCAAAGAAAGGGCCACCCGCATCCTCTGATGCATCTCTGCGGGCCACCGCCAACGCCTCTGCCTCACACGGCAATATTGTATTGCTA